CTTATTAGTTTTAATTGTGCAACATCCCCAACCGGTTTCCAAGGAGTTAAAAAAAAATTGGATTGAAATATTTTTATAAAAAAAAAAAAAAAAAGAAGAAAAAAAGAAGAACAAAAGCAAGAGAGCTGCCATCTTCCTTCTATTTTACATGCATTAAAGGACAAAGAGGTGAATTAAACCAGGACAGTGAAATTAAACGGTTACATCAGTATTTCACCAGCCAGACAGAGGTGATGCTTGGCTCCTCCAGGGCTCTGTGACACCATTGGGACACGTCATGTTTTGTCCGAGCTGAAGCCAATGAAGCTAGAGCAGGCTGGACTTGTATCAGAACTACATCACCCTGACAAATCCTACTGAGATCAGCAAATTGTATTCATTTTATTACCCCATCCACAGGGTTTTGAATTTTGTTTAAATGAGCAGTGCCTTACATACACATAGCAGTCCTATATTGACCATAGTTCTCTTTTGGGTCACAGGAGGATATTTACTAATGTCCTCCTGTGACCCAAAACTCAGTGCAGAGCCGCGCTGCAGCCAGGAAAGATCCTAACAATATTGTCAGGATCCACCCCTCTGCCTGATTGACAGCTGGCTCTGCCTCTCTAGAGTCTGTGCTGCGCTGGAGGAATGGAGAGGAGGGGGGGTTCTTGTGGGGAGGTGACCGACACTCATCGCTCTCTGCAGGAAAAAGACCATGAGCGGAGTTGATCAGCGGTATGTGGTCTCGCAGCTCTGACAGCTGTACTATCATGCGCCGGCTCTGATTCTCGGGATGAGTGCATTTCACTTTCCCCATAATTCTCCTTTAAAGAAGTCTTTCTGAAGCGAATACTGGAGGCTGCCAGTGCTTACTTCTGGAAATTCTAGTTGCCTGGCTGTCCTGCTACTCCTCCTGCTTTAGTATTTACAATCACTAACGGAGCACACGCAGTTAAGGATTCAACTTCCTGATTTACATGCTTGTTTCTTGGTGGAGACTTAAGTGTATTTCCACTTTTGCAGCCAAATTGGTATAACACCTATTTTAGATCTGTTAGATGTTTCTCATTCACATAATACAACATTCTTTTTTTAATTGCTGCTTGCACAATTCACGCTCTATTCTGAAAGAAAAGTTGTTCTCTGCTGAATGCAAGAGGGGCCTGAGCAGATTAAAACACAAATGACTCTGTCTGCACTGTCCTGGCAGAGCTCTCATTATCAGTTGTAAACTAGATTTGAACAATGTCTGTCCTACAGCATTGTATGTTAGTGAGAGGAAGCTCAGTGTGTCTTTCTATAGTGTGTCTACCTATACTTTCCTGGTAGGCAAGATAAACAGGAAATATTGTTTTGAAGTTCTGTTGGGGATGCAGTGTGAATGGGAACACAAACAGAGGGGTTTTCTTAAATTAGACTGCAGAAGTGGAAATACACTGGCGGCAGCAGCAGTGGTCCTCACCCTGTGTAACCTTAGCACCCACATTTGCCCTCGGTCATTAAGTCGCGACCCAAGTGGCACTGCAATGGAAAGCACGGCAGTGTGGGCTGCTGTGCTGTGATGGAGCTCCATCCATATGTGCGTTGCTTGTACAACTCCCATACGTGCCTGTAGAGGTGCCGTGAGCTAGAATGTGATGTGGTCCAGGTACCTCTATAGGGCATGCGAGGGAAGCTATAAGCAATGCATGTATGGATGGAGCTCCCTCGCGGCCATACCCCCAGCCCACCCCACCTCAAGCTGACACTCATATTTTGAATGGCTGCTCAGTGTGAGAACGGACAGTGTTGGGCTAGGGGGACGCTGATGAGCCTCTCACTTAGAAAAGTGAAAGGCGTGCGGCGACCCATTGAACACGGAGTCACGACCCACCAGTTGAGAACCAAGGCTTTAAAGTATTGAATAATAACAGAAGGGCAAATTCTAGCCAGGCACCCAGCATTTTCAGCAAACCTTCCATTTTTCTTAAATATTTAATGCACCTCCATTGCAGTGAACTGAACATTTCCATACAGATACAATGGATACAGTGAGACGATGAGGGCCGATTCTCCCTACAAAAGGCATAATCTGCCATGCAGTAGCCAGCCCTTCAAAATGAATGGGCTTCAAAGCACCTCATAATAACCGATAATTTTGTGCTAGCCGCATTTTTGTTTTCCACAACACAGTGAACGGCAATGTGCATGATGTAGCGTGTTGCAGCTCACATGCGGTGCTTCACCACACATTTTACTGCAATGGGTTAGGTTGAACTAGATGGACTTGTCTTTTTTCAACCTAACTATGTAATGGTGTGCTGTGCATGGGCCCTGAACGAACACCACGGGTAATAAATGCCATCTACAAAAGTAGTTATTTTCTGCCCTTCGGTTATAAAACTTGACGGGAAGCTGGAGCTCAGGATATGAATGTTGGTGAGCTACGGTACTGTGGGTAAGCGTATAAAATCCTTAGAGGTTTATCACTTCTGCACCAATAGATAATTACAGGATAGAGTACAGGTTTGTCAATGGCACCATTTTTAGCCTATAGCTCATGGATGGCAATGCTAACAACCTTGCAGTACTACACATAACATCCGGTCTCTTTTCAGGTGCAGGTAATGCATTCAGAAATGATGGGGGATGCAGGTGAAAATGAACACAATTCAGAAGCGAGTCAGCCCAATTCTAAATTCAGTAGGTAAGGAGTCAGGGAAGTCATAGATTTCGACTGATAACAGTAAAACAAGCTTACAGGTAGCTGCTGCCTGCTGACATGTATAGGGATTTTGACGATCTTGCTCCTAGGATTAGGCAAGCCTGAGATGGGAACATTATGACCAGCAGGGTTAAGAGCCCCATGAGCAGCAAATATAATTTTATATAACTATCGGGCTGTAGCAGATTTTCAAGTAGACTTTTGTGCTTCTGCTATGACTAACATTGCATATGAGCCAGTTCCAATCCATGATGTATGACAGAAGAAAAGCAGCAGAGAGTCAGCAGACAGACAGTGAGAGTGGTCAAGTTACAGTCTTCTTGATTTGGTTTGAAATAGAACTATACTTCAAAATACTTTTAATAGAAAAATATTAAAACCTGAATATTCCAGACAAAAGAACAATTTTTGCTTCTCAGACATTACTGATCGAGAGAACAGGCTGAGCAATCAATGCACAATACCTTACCAAACCAACAGCAATTGGTCAGATACAATGCCTGAGTGATCTAAAACTGCGCGGGTTAAAATCAAAGTCATATTTAATTTACCTTCAATCATTTATATTCTCTGAAATAAAATAAGACAATGATTTCAGAGGATACAAGCACTCATCCTTCAGAGCCCCCTGAGTTCAGTGACCTTTTTTTCCCACTGCATATACTAGTCGTATACTAGCAGTAGTCAAGATTTGCAGGTGCGCTTTCCAGTGACATGAATGAAAACAGTATGGCATAGGTTTGTGAGGTCACACAGAACCCCATGGATTAGGCAAGTATATGACATCTTATAAGTGGTCACCATGAGGAAGAGGGGGTTCTGTGATTAATCCAATGCCACTCAAACCCGATATTGAAGTTTTGCATAGTTGCTGACTAATTGCATCTCATGCTGGCTTCTTGCATCTCACTAAGGGCAATACAGAAAAAGCCAATAACTAGGGAATTGGCCAACAGAGTGAGATCATAGTTATGACCTTGCAGGAGCGGACAAAACACAAACTAACGAGCACAAATCTGTTTGAATTGCACGTGATTCAGACTACTGGAACCCACCTCAAACTTTAGGGTGGAGATGGCCTGTAAAAATTTGAGCATGAGCTTTAGCCACAAGTTCACTATAGGAGCCAGAATAAATTCTTGTGGTCCCAAGATAAAAGCAGAACATTTACTCAACTGGCTTCCGCTATTCTCTCACAATGGCTCTGTTGGGATGCCAGAAAAATGGCACATGAACATCTAAAATATTTTTCTCTTATTTACTATCCCCCAATGTTAATTTTTCTGCATATTCTATTAAAGGAAAAAACCTTCTTACTTAAACCATAGAAAAGGCCAGTGACCAATAGTACATTTGTTGTGGTTAGCAAGGCTTGCCGATATAACAGCACTGGTTGTACCCATGAACAATCCCGCCATCTGGTGGCCAACACTGGCAGTACAAGTATAGAGAGATGGCTTTTGCGAGGCTATGCAGTCTAACCCTTAGGTTCCCTAAAATGAAGTTGCAGGAGCTCTTTCCCCGATGGTCTTTATGACATTTGGGGCTTTAAAGGCTGCTCACAAGCAGCAAACAAAGCTGTTCATTTTCTGGATAGGTATACCCTATTGAAAAACAAAACCCAACAGGGAAGAGCTGCTCCCCATACATGCATACACTGTGATGGCCAAGTGCATGCTCCTCTGTTGCAGTAATACCCACAAAATGCTGAGCCGAATTGTGTACATATCCTAATGTAACCATCATTGTTATTGATCAGAAGTTCATTACATTGACTAGATGACTTCAACTCGATCAGATCCAGATCACTCATTGTCTTACTTAGATAAGTGTTTGGGTACAAATTACCCAAAAATTATACCTTACCCTCTTAAAAAATAAACTAAAACACCACATGATAGAATTGTTCTCTAAATGAGGAAAAGCGGTAAAAAGGTTGGTTCTGTGTTGTACAACTGTGGTAAAATACAGTGTAGTCAATATTTACACATTGCAATAATCTCTATGGCCATGTATACTGCGATCTGACCGATACACTAATTACAGGCTCTGCCCCGCATTGCCGTCATGACTCCTCTCAGTGGAAGCTTCAGAAAGCTGGAGATGTTTTATCTATATGCCAGAAGTCATGGCCCACAAAGTAATGTTCATGCAAATTTCACTAAATTACAAAGCACACACACCAAGATGTGTTTTTTTATATATAATATATATAATAAATAAAAAAATAATAAAAAGGAATAGATTAAAAGTCAAAAGGGGCCGTCATCTTTCTCATTTAGATTTTTGGAAAGGAATCTCCCACAAGGCACACATTTTATCTATTTTTGTTTGTTTTTAGGTCCTCCTTGTTCTGAAGCTTTTCCAGGTATGAAGTGGTCATGCACAGGGCAGGGAGGGCAGACATTACACACAGGTACAGTATGGCAGAGACAGGACATGCAGCTATAGAGGAACAGGGTTCCCTGTCTCTATTTCAGTAGTAAAATGCTCTTTTGGAGAGAAAGCTTCTACCACTTTGTTCTAAAGACTGGGTGCTTCAGTAACTCTCTTGATGGGGGCCGATCTTGAGGTTGAAGCTCCAGACACCGAAGGGTGACGTCCCGCAAGCCCGGAGACAGATGTGGTGGGATTGATGGAGCCGTAGTTGCGCTTGCAATCTAAATGTGAAAAGACAGAACCAGAGTTGTTTTTATGCAGCACTGAAGCTATTTACTGGTTTATTCTTGATAAGTACTAGACACCGCTCCAAGCTCGCTCCTGTGATAGACTACAATCTCCATACAAATTAGTAAACTAAATCCAAGATTATAGTTCATCACGGGAGGGAGCTTGGAGTGGTGGCTGCCTTATAACACACACAGGGACCATGGGGAACAAAAGTAGCCACCCTCCAGAAGGACAGTGTCGGCACCAATTCAGAGATGATTTGAGGATCTACAGCCGAGTGATACACAAATAAGATACATTTGTGTTAATAGGTAAGGTACTTTTTAACATTTAATGCCCGAGTTTAGTGTCACTTTCAAAACAGCATACACTATAACTTGTAGCATAAAAGCCTCTTCTAACCGAAAACCATACCATGATCAGTACCTCTAATGGAAAACATAGGATATTAGTCACCAGGTCATGGCTCTAATTAGCAATGGGTATGCTGCAGGTTTACAAACCACCAGCATATTGGACATCTATGGGAATTCTGACATCACAGGCAGAGAAGACTGCAGGACAGGACCCAGTTGTACATTGCATTACGGTGCAATGACTTCAAAAGTGATATGGGAGAAAGATGTGAGACAGGTGAGCACTGTTGCACAGAACGACCTCAAAAGGGGATATGGGAGGCGGAGGTAAGACACGGGAGCACAACTCCATAGAATGACATCAAAAGTGATATGGGAGAAAGTTGGGAGACAGGGGAGCACAGTATGACATCAAAAGGGGATTTGCGAGACTGAGGTAAGACAGGGGAGAGCACAGTTCCAGAGAAACAACCATACCTTAAAAATGAGAGCAAGGTGATTGGAGTGTTTCTCTGCATTCCATGGAGGTTTAGCACAAGCCATCTCTATAATGCTGCAGCCAACACTCCACACGTCACAGCTCCGACCATACTGCTGCCCCCTCAGCACCTATAGTAAAAAGAACAAGAAAAATAAATTAATAAGCAGAGGTCTTGAAAAAGGTTACTCTCAGATTACAAGTGTTTTACAGCGCACAAAACAAAATTGTTATACTTATCCAATAAAATGTAAAATGAGTAAATGAGCTGCATGATGAGAAGCATACCTCTGGAGCCATAAAAGCAATTGTTCCCAGCAGCTGCCCCTGAAATTCGCCAGCACCTGTGCCCTTTGATGCCAGTCTAGCTGCTGCTCCAAAATCAGCAATTCGTAGTCGCTGCCCAGTGCTGTCAATCAGTAGATTAGCACCTAAAAGAAAGTAAAGACGTAACCTTAATAAAACAGTCAACCAATAAATTGGAACGTTATGACAGTTAACCCTTCCCTGCCCACAAATTGTATATACACATCCACCAGCATTATGCCCCTATGGTGCGGATATTTGTAAAATGTTCTCCAGAGCCTACACTCAAAAGTGGAACGGAGCTGTCAGTAACAGCCAGGATTAAAAGTCTACAGCTGCAATGATGAATGGTACCCAATCAGCACGGTTCCCTGGAACGTGATCAGTCAGCTATGACATGGTGCTCACATGCAGGCTAGAGGTTTTATTGTAAAACTAAAAGCCTTCAGCCTGCAGATAAACTTCCACCTTCAGGCTGTAGTGTTCATCTTCAGTGCCATAGATTGAATACTGTTATTAGATTACAGCATTTAAAAAAAAAAAAAGGGGAAAAAACCTGGGCATCTAGGTGTGAATGATCTCTGAGAATAAAAAGGGTTAGTCTGTTGCAGATGTTTTACATCTGATGCATGCAGAGTACATACCGAGTACAACCCCTTCCTTGCTGGTGCTGGAAGCAGGAACACAAAGCTGAGGCTGACTGCATGCAATTGATAAAAGGAGTTGACAAGAACTCATCAGCCACAATAATAGAAATTATTAAAAGAAGTACGGGGTAAGTGTTTTTCCCCAAAGTTCTCTCTCCGGCAATACTGTCTGGATCCACCCAGCTGCGTTAGTGACAGTTGGCTCTGCCCATGTAGAGGTAGAGCCAGCTGTGCCCGCCATCTCCCCTGTCCATTCCCCCAGTCAGCACTGGAGGATCAGAGAGGGGAGGATCCCTGTGGGGAGCGGTGACTGACAGTCACTGCAGGGAGACGATCGGGAAATGAGCGGAGCGGTGCATGCTTCTACTCACATCCCAAGCAATAGAGCCGACCTGTGACAGCTTCTTTATCACAGGTCGGCTCTGACTGAGGATGAGTGGAAATCACTCGCCTCATAGTTCTCCTTTAAGTTCTTGATCACCTAACAAAAGGTTTCCTTCAATGATACATAAAAATGTTGAAGTTCTTGCTGAAAATATCTGCAGAAGTAACAAACCACTGTCCCGCTGTGGGCTCTAACCTGAACTATGAACCAAGCCAACAGTAACTTTATCTTTACAGCTGTGTGGGGAATCCCCAGCCCACCATAGTGGTCTCTACCACCACCTAACTATATGTGGACTCCTTGAGCCCTGAGGCCACAAATTAAATCACCAATTTCAAAGTGTCCTCTGCCCCATACCTTTTATATCTCTGTGAATGATCTGGTTTTCATGAAGGTACGAGAGTCCCCGAAGTAACTGATCTGTATAGTTGATGACGACAGATTCTTTAAATGCTCCGTATTTACTAAGTAGGTGGGCGACCGAACCACCTGAGAACACAAGATCTGAATTAGAAGAGAAACACCACCACACAAATTTCACACAAAGCGGGAGGATTTCACGGTTACCTGCCATCCACTCCACAAACAGATTGTAGTTGCTCTTCTCACAGGTTGCCCCAAGCATCCTTATGATATTTGGGTGACTGAGGTGATTCATCATCCTGATCTCCTCCCGAAGAGTCTCCACCACCTCTCCTTGCTCAGTAGATGTGTTCCTCACATAGGTCACCTGGCACAGAACAGAGGACACTTACTGCACAGAACACATTATAAATGACAGAACGGCTCTCTATTTGTACAAACCAACACAACATTACAGATCAATAACCAAAGCTTGGAAGACAGTAAAGTTACCATCTACAATAATACTGTATTCAGAATGCATTGGACCTCCTTGCCGTAATTACACAATTAAACTGGCATAGACCAGATAGAAATAATGCATTCATTCATTTACAGCAAGGCAATCATCTGCTGCAGTCAGTATTCCTTAAGGGCCGGTTCAGAAATAAACCGCACAGTAAAATGTAGCATTCTATCACGCAGCTAGGGTTCGCAGCAGTGAGCTGTGGTTTCTTGACTTGTTACAACGCAATTTACTGTGGGTTTTTTTTTTTTAAACTTCTAAAACTTTATTTGGAGTGTACAAAACTAAAAGTGTACACTCCATTCAGGTCCCTGCAAAGCAGTGCGGTGTACTGTGGCATGGCGTTTCTTGTTGCCATCCAGTGCGCTGTGGAAAATGCAGCACTGCACATTACACCTGCGTTGCAGTGTTAAGAGGGAACAACGCAACTGTTTTATCTGTGGTTTGTGGAGAGCTGCATTTTCCTACTGCTGAAAAATGCATCTTTCCACACAAGTGTGAGCAAAACTTAGAGAGGATTATTTTGTATGAAGTACTGCAGACTCCGAACGGATTTTGGGTTGGTCCTTTTAGGTACCATCTCGCAATCTCTGACTGGAAGCAGAGTTTTTTGTGATCTTTTCATTAGCACATCACAGAACGAAATCATGACATTGGACAAGCGCCTAGTGCTACTGCCAATAGCAACCAATGCTAATTACTTGTATGTGAAGGCCGGGTGTCTGCTGCAAACAAGCGATAATACGAAATCACCTGCACTCCATACAGCGTACAGACCTTGAGTAAGAGGTTGGTGCTTTAAGTGACAACACGGATGGCGCCGTGTCAGATACAGTCCATAATAGAAGTTGCCAGCACTCAATGATATGTAGTAAAGCGCTTTTATGGGCCGTCGCAGCCGACCCACCGGAGCGAGCCTGCATGCGATCGTCGGTCGTCTAGGGGAGACTCCAAGGATCCAGGACATCCAGCCTGTCGCCCGGACAACACTTGGTAGAAGATTCTACTGAAAAAAGCAGGAAGAAGCAGGTAAGAATACCCGAGAAAAAATTCTTAGCTCCTTACTCCTGACGCTAGGCAAAAAACTGGGGACTTGTCAGCAGGTGGGGGGTTTGGCCACCAGCAGGGGCCGCCCCTAGGCTGTAATTGGTCTTTAGTTTTTTTTTGTGCCTAGCGTCCTTCTCCTGCAGGTGGCGATATTACCCTACAGTACATGATCTCCGATTTGTTCCCTGTGTCCTTCAATGAACGGGAGAGAAAAATGTTTCTTGCAGTTTAAATTGCTTTTACTTGGGTTATGGTTTTACGTGTTAAAATGTCTTATTTCTGTCTTTGAAATATTAGGAGGGGCTGTGAGGGGTCAGAGGTGGCTTGTCCATTATATGTTAATGAAGCTTATCAGATAAACGCAATCCTTTAATTTCAGTCCCAAGCCTTTCCATTGGGACAGACCACAGTGGAACAGCCAAGAAAAACCTGGAATCAGACATCTAACCTGATTTAACAAAACATCTTAAAAAAGCTAAGAAATTTAGATTTTTTTTCAGTATGCTGTGTGAACGGGAACACATAACGAACATATAGTGGGGTTTTCTCAAATTTGACTGCACAAGTGGGAATACACAAGGTTGTTCATTCTGCATTGCATGAAAGAATCTGACACCACTGTAACTTCCTTCCCTCATACACTGCAGGATATGAGGCATACCGTGTTCTCTGGCAAATGTACCACTGCTGATTTTATAAGGGAGGCCCCACGCAATTACACAGGAAAGAAGAAGAAAAAAAGAGAGACTTTAAGAAACAATTCTGATGTGAGAAGTTAACTTTGTATTGCACAGACCGATTTTGCCCTTTTTCTATTACAAATGTTTTATTTTGCAGTTTAAGGGTTCACTCACATGGGGCAATGTGGCTTTGCTGCAACAGGAATCACAGGTGTCCCTGTTCAGATGTGGTCGCTGTACACACTTCCGTAAAATACAGGGTGACAGTGGTCACATCTGTAAGCGGCAGTCCACATGTAAATCGTATATGATACGATTACATGCAGTTTGGAACAGATAACTGCTGCTGGACAGATGCATCCAGCATCAGTCATCTATTTCAAACCGCATGTGATTGTGTCATATACGATTACATGCGGGCTGCTGCTTACCGATACGGCCGCTGTCACCCTCTTATTTACTTGTATGGGTACAGCGGCTGCATCTGAACGGGACACCTGTGATTCCTGTTGCAGGAATCCGCAGGTTCTTGCTGCAGGAATCCCAGATTGCACCATGTGAATAGGGTCTATATGAACAGCAAGGAGGCACCATCCAATGAAGCTGATAAGCAGTACCAGGGTGCAGGACGTGTCCCATAGACTACCACTTCATGTAGACTATCTAAATGTTTACAGTAGTGGCAAACCGTTCTGGTGCTTGCAATATGTTTGCAATCAGGGGCTTAAACATAATTCAATCCCTCTCATTCTTGCACACTAGATTCTCTCACCTGTTTGACGGCCATTAAGGTGCCAGTTCCAACATCCTGAGCTTGATAGCAGGAAGAAAAGGCTCCCAAACCAATCTGCTGGCCTTTAAGCCATTCAACCTCTTCCCGATAGTGATTTTTTGCTTTGGTATGTCCAGGGAGGGTCTCTGGAGTCTAGACGTAAAGATTAGCATGTTAATGTCACAATCCTTCCACAGAGGCTTGCAGTTAACTACCTGAACTGGTGTAAGGCAGCTAGAAATAAAAGGATACATTTGGCCTATACACAGAGGATATCACTAGTAAATAAATAGGCTGCATGTCCCAGAGTGTTGACCCCAAATGCTGCCTCCATTATTAATAGGTACTTTCAATTGTTGGCCGTGAAATCAGTCCTCTCTTGGCCCTTCAGTTCAATGCAGACAGTGTCAATGCAGACACAACACTCGTTTGCTGTGCCATTTGACTGAACACATTCTTTCAAGCCAAGATTTCATGAATGTGCAATGGGGAGCTATGCTTTGACACCTGTGTGTATAAGACAGACAATAGGTGACGCTGACGATATGTTCCGTTAGACTTACCGGTAACGGTATTTCTAGGAATCTTCCAGGACAGCAACCTGAGAGATGTACCCCACTACCAGCTCCCCTACATCAAGCAGGGGGAAGCAGGGCAGGGCCACCGGCCTGGGGGCCTCAGGAGTGGGTCCTTTAAGGGAAGGAACCAGATCCTGGCCTTTCAAACAACATAGGGAAAAACACCCCTCCGCTCTACAGCAAGGCCAGAAGGGAGGGAAAACACCTTCAACAGCAGAGCCGCACAGAGGGGGATCCGTGACCTCAAGGCCAACCGGTCAGGAAGAAAAAGAACAAACGTGACGTGGTCCTGGACGGTAGGAAACACAATCTAAACTGAGGTACGAGGGGAAGGGGAGGGGCTTTTAACTGTTTTGCTAATTGTGTTTCCTGTAGAAGGTGGAACCAATCATCTCTCAGGTTGCTGTCCTGGCATAATATCTCTAATGCTAAACCAGAACTCCTTCAAGGATCATTCAACAAAAGATGCATAAAATAATTTAGCACAATGAAAACAGAAATATAATCTATTAAATAACACAACTATAGGGGATGATGGATGATAAAAAAAAAGGAAACGTTCACCTCTGAACATACAATTCTTCTATTGGAGAACACAAAGTGACAACTCCTTGACTTGTACATCCATGCCTAGGCACAGGCTAAGAATTGGCTGCTGACCCCACAGATATTTCTGGGGATTTGGCACCACCACATTTTGCTTACAGTAGGATCAAAGATGCCACAAGCTGGCATTTTGAATGTGCAGATTTACTTGAAGGCGTGGGGACAATGATTTTCTTCCCTACACCCTCAAAGATCCTATGTAGAAAGGTTTTCTTCTAGGCGGCCTTTAATAAAAAGCCACCACTATGAAAGATTCTCAGCCCTCCAAATCCTTTTGTTCCTTTGAATCCTGGCCATTTCTGACAGGGAAGGCTCCAAGACAGAGTTAAAGTTTGTCACAAAGCCTCACCCCGTTTTTTGGCATATCACAACGATGGGTAGTCTTATGGGCCAATAAAAATTTGCAGAAGGGGTGGGCAAACTTCAGCCCAATCACAAAGTGCTAAGACGTTGCCTGTCAGAGATCAGGAAAATGATATCCAACTCTTCACCTTCCTAGATTCTCCTACTCGTTACACAAATCTCTGACGTGTACTTGTAGCCAGGTTATTACCATGATAAAACTCGCATTTTATAAAAAAGGCATCCCCAGGTGTCTACACAGAGGTACAGCCTTTTCCTACAGCCCCCTAAGGGGTTCTATTACACAAATACTGACCTCATCTAGGACAGCAAACCTCGTTTTGGCAATTACTCTGATGGGAGGATCAAATAGCCAATAGGGAGTCACGGGGGGGATCTACAGATTCAGTATAAATAGTCATAGGCAACGGAGAACCACAAGTGTCTGGAGCCCTGGAGAACCCTAGAAAAAGGCTCAGTACATCTGGAAGAGTGTGCCTTCGCAGCCAAGTGGCAAACTAGCAATGTCGGCAAGTGTTTTAAACCACAAATGGTTTCTAAACTTAACAGACCAGTTTTGAAAAACATATCCTGAAAAGCAGCAGGTTGTTCAAAAAGCAACATCTTTCTTAACAGCAGAACAGGTATCTATAGGACACGTTTCTCCTAACCAAACTTACATCCTGCTGAATAATGATGATGTCCTCCCCATTTTCCACTTGTAACTGGGGTATGACTGGCAGAGCATCCTGAGAGGCTGACATGGCGAGAACAATAGCCAGTGCTTCCTCCTCCTCTGCTTCCATTTTCTCTTTGCACTTCTGATTGTGGCTGACATCCTCTTTGTAGGTGTCATCAATTTCTGCTCGCTCTGGAGAAAGCACAGCCACCTCAGACTTAAAAGTGACCGTGCCATCACCAGCAGGCATGGATGCCTCCAAAAGGTCCTCCATGCTGGAATTAAGCTCTGTATTGGCATCCAGCCGACCCTTTTCTTCTACAGGAGTAAAAACAGTGTCATCACTGGGTATGACAGCACAACTGCTACTGCCACCATTGTCACTATGAGAAACATTTAGTTCAAGAGTCATATTGCCTTTTGGAGACTCGGCCAATTTCCCCATTTCCCCCGGAGTAGGCCGAGATGGCTTTGGCCTGTGTATCTGATGAGATGGCAGGGGCCTAGCTTGAGTGAAAACAGGAGACAGTTTTTCAGGCTCTTTACTTCCTGAATAGTGCTTCTGCATTTGAAGAGAAAACTTCCTTTGAGTCTGAGGGGAAGCAGATGACAATTTGCAGGGAGTAAATCCCTGAGGTTTAGGTTTGGGGATATCTGAGACAGGGCCAGCTGGCACAGACGGGGCGGAGGGAGGAGAAGGTAAGGTCTGGAAAAAGGAATGAGGAGGTTGTGAGGAAGAGGGAGAGTTCAAGCATTGACTTAAGGGTCTGCGTTTAGTCTGGATGGCAGGCTTTGGTTGCTCAGTCGTCACTAAAGGGCGCCCCAAGGAGATCCCCTCCAGTGCCTCATTCAAGTCCTCAGGGCTAGAAGCGGCTTTTGAGGCACAAAGATCACTCCCCACTTTCCCTGATAGCTGCATAGTGTGTTCTGGGGAATTACTCTGTGAAGTAACAGGGGAGTTCGCTGGTGCAGAGGGCTGCACAAAAGCTTCCCTGCGGTGTTCAAAAGTCTGAGAGTCCTCCAGGCCTTGTTGGATCACTTCTACAATGTCCATTTCTTCCGCGATAGCCATTAAACGTCTTCGCATGCGGCTGTAATGCGTTGAGCTGGTTGTGCTTAACATGTCCAACAGCTTGACGTACACGTGAGGGACTCTGGCGACCATCCTGGCTGCGCTTAAGAACACTCTGCGGGATAATTTCCCCACCATCGAATGGGAGTTGTCAATGGACTGCAAGGCAAAGTTTAGCAAGGACAGCAAGTTCCTATACCTGTAAAAGAAGGAAGTGTCACTATCTAGCATAAAACTGAACAGCACAAAATACTAAATGGATTTATACAGATTAACCGCTGCCCACTGAAACAATCCCCAGCACAAAGCCTAGTGCTAAGGATAGGTTTATAAATGCCCTCATTTAGGAGCCATTAGTGGACATTTTGCACAGCTGGTGGTGGACAATTAGGAACAAAGCATAGGAGTTTCCCGATCTTGTGATCATTATGTCTGCAGTGCCATATGCTAATACTTGTAATTATCAAACACATTAACAGTATTAAAAGAAAAGATGCAAAGTGAAAGAACAGAAAATTGCAATTATGTTATCCAGCAGAAAGCCAATGATCAGTAAGTTCTAAAAGCCACTAATATTTGCAGTGAAAACAGGAGCTCATATAGCATCCACTATGAGTTATCACTGGATAGCTACCGAATAAGTTTGGTGCGGTGATTTGAATTGTAGATGCCCAAGCGTTGATATATCACTAGACTTGTGATTACCATTTGTACACATTTGATGTGCTCTATGGTTTGTTTGCATAGCAATAGCTCTTATCCCATTCAAAATGGTCCAAAAGTGGTTGACTTGGAAGCATTTATTGAGATACTATATACCAGGTTTCCCCGAAAATAAGACCTAGTACTATTTTTGGGAATTGCTAAAATATAAGACCTAGTTGTGACCATTCCCAGGCCCGGTGGTGGTATAAGGGAGAACTTGAAGAGCCACGGGAGAGGCAGGAGAGAATCAGCGGTGCCAAAGAAGCTGCGCTAGAGGAAGCGAGGCAGCACCGGAGGGAGCAGAGCCGCATAAGCCGATGCCTCCTCTATAGTGCCAGCTCCTGTCACAGGCGGAGTGATGCCAAATGCACTCCGCCTGTAAGGAATCGATAGTGAAAGTGCGCTTCGCTCATTCTGGCCAGCGATTGGTTAGCAAATTGTTCTTGGGAAGGTACGGCACCCCCGATTGCCCTGATCACCATATTTTTGTACACTAATACATGTAGACAGTGTCTTATTGTCGGGGAAACACGGTATATGAACATGTTCTATCACCTTAAATACATAATAACCATTACATAATTTGATATTATTTGCACGTTAAGACCAACAAGCATTGTTTATAGTCACTGATGCCGAGTCATTTTCTACTGACCACAGTCCAGCCAGTGAACCGGTCCTTTGTTTAGAAGGTTTACATCGTTCACGCATCTTTTAGAACATTATTATTTATACCAAGAGAAAGGTTCATTTTATAAAATTAATTTTGGTTGCACTGCATTCATAACAAGCTTTTTGATACCTTTCTACTGCTGCATCAGCCTGCAAGACATCTCCACTAATGATGTGGGGGTAAAACTCAGCAGGAAATTCCAACAAGAGCCGGTCAATGAGACATAAGCGGCCCAGTAGTGCTTGCCAGTTGTTAGACTCTGTCTGGGTGGCCAGGATACAGGTCAAGACATATTCAACTCCACCAATACCAATGGAACCTAGAGAAGTGAAGACAGCCGCCAGATAGAGTGACATGGAGTACAAGGAACGTTTTCAAAACACATAGATAAAACCCTGAGGAAAACAATTACAGCTTTACTAGCAGGGAACCATTAGTGATTAAATAGAGCAGTCATTAACAACATTAAAGCCAATTTCACCCAAAGCTAATACTTCAGTTTTAAGGTTTGCAATGTGAAATCGCATGTAGTTCTTGCATGCGCTATAATATCAATTATGCAAATAATCAAGTCCTACTCATTTGCCACAGCCACTACAAATCCAACAGATGGTATTACATCAATTACAGTACTGGATTCTAGAACGGATATAAGCTGGTGGGGGATTCACGCCACCCAAAGATGAAACGGATTTGAGTGGAGTTTACCTTTTAAGCTCGGACTAAAAATCTTCACATGCAGTTTATTTTGCTATATATCTGATCTAAAAATAAACTCTAAACTGCCAGTTGGCGTGTCCCTCCTGTGACTTATTCTGCTGTGTGTTTGTGTATTATGTGAACAGAATAGCAGTAAACTAAATAGAAAGTGTGGACCATGGACTTTAAGAGCCACTGAGCCAGGTGCTGCAAAGGTGGGTACTGGCAAATTAAAAACAAAACACTGGCAGCCCAATCTTTATATGTACGGACAAGAAGGTACTAACCAGAATTGAGGATCTCTCTCCCCACAGCCAACTCTCCTGCTTGCCCCTTGCATAGTTCCAGCAATGTTGACACAGAAAGCTGACTGGTCCGGCTGCAGGAGGCA